GGCTTTCCATTAAGGTGTGCCAGGTGGCCTGAACACAGCCAAATATTTCTTAGGCCAGGCTTTCCATTAAGGTGTGCCAGGTGGCCTGAACACAGCCAAATATTTCTTAGGCCAGTCTGTGGGCAGAATCAATATTTGCGCAGGCGAGGCGGGAAGTGTCACAAGACCATACAATTTCAGGACTTTCACACGGAATCACACCCATAAAAGTTTGATGTTGGCAATGTTAGATGGGGGTTAAAGGGGTTGAAAAGGACTCAGGAGGGTGTAAGATGTTTTTATTTTTATAATTAATAATGTTCTATATGACTGTTAGTCAAAAGGTGTTTAGAAGTTTGCCTTCCGTTGCAGACGCCTAAATGGGGTTGAGTTTTTTTTTTCCTCTCTTGGTTTTCGATCTGCTAAGGCATTGCCTGAAGTTTCTCTAAGTAGGTCATTCGGGCCAGGTGTAGACAACCAACGATTTTATTATTTCTATCACGGTGTCTACGAAATTGGTTGGTGATTTGCCTTAGTTACACCGGTTGTTTGGTAGGTGTCATTGAAAAACACTGCTTATGTGAGGACGTGCACATTGACTGTTGCAGTGCCCCCTAGTAGGGTGCAATCAGGATCCAAGTGACATGAGGCAAAGTAGATTTTTAGTGTTCATCTCAATCAGATTGAGAACTTAATAGGTTAAGAACCCTTGGAATACTTAACTATAGAAAACGATAGAGTAATTTCTTTCAGATATGACATATTCAGTTCAGTTTCTCTTGAAAGATAAACTTTTGGTTTAATTTCAAGCAAACCAAACAAATTCAGTTTATCTTTTCCCTAAGGATAAACTTTCAGTTTAAATTTCCTTTTACAAATGACATTTCAGTTTACTTTCTTTCATAAATTGCATTTCAGTTTAATTTTCTGACAATAAATCACCATTCGGTTTAATTATTTGACCAAGGGCAACTTTTCAGTTTAATTTTATTCAAATGAAATTCGATGAATAACATTTCAGTTACACTTTTGAGTTACGTGAAACTGGAATATAAAATGCCAGTTTAATTTCAGGCATTCCATTTTATTTCAGTTTATACTAAACTGAAATGTTATGTTTGAATTTTCAAGATTGTTCCCGAACTTTCAGGAAAAAAAAACTTTTCAGTTTTTTGAGGTAAAAATGATCATCATAAACTGAAAATCTCTTGATAAACTGAAAATTTTAAAATTAACTTGAATTTTTTCGATTTAGCATTTTCTTCAACTGAATTTTTATGTTTGGTTTTTATATTTTTTGTAGTTGGACGTTGAGGTCCGTGACAACTGTCAAAGTCAAATCCCTTGACATGTCCGAAGGCCTACGAAGACGAAGCCTCGTCCCATAGGCCAGGGGCCTTCTGCCGTCACAAAAAAGTTGAAGCTCGCGTACCCTTACCCACGTAGTGTGCAGAAGAGGGTAGGACTCAATTGCCTTTACAATTGTCTAGCGTCATGAGACTAATCCCTCAAGACGCATTCAACCGATACTTGAGTGTCAAAGACGATCCTCGACATCATTGAGGATTGAGTGGTCATGGATACCACACAGTATGCCATCATTGCAACTGCTTGCGTATTCATGCATGACATGACCTATGTCTTCTCGATATTTATTGAGAGTCTCGTGCACGACACCCGTGTATTTTGTTATCAAAAGGTTATGAGTCAGATGTGAAAAAAAGAGACTAGGCGTGATTTATGTTTAGAGTCTGGTTTATTTTTGTAAAGTGTATCGTGTGGTTAGGCTGAGCCCCTCTTGGGAGATCAGCCCCAGAGCATCGGTTCACGTACGAGTCCGATTAAGGCGTTCGACCACGTGTACCCCCTTTTCTACGTCGAACGAGAAATGCCCTCAGCTCGCTCACCTCTACGATTGCACCCGAGCAGCTTTCGCACGTGGTTCAGTAGCTCGACGGGGATATGTATGTCCAAGGATGGTAACAGCCCCTTGGGCAAAGGTAAGTTGTGCCTCGCGTGACCCCTATCCTGACAGAGGAGTTCGGGAGAGATGCGGCTGACGCACTCAGCCGGAGCGGCAAAAACTCGTTGCGACAAAGTCTTGCAAACTCCTGCGTGACGCGGCTGGGAGGGTTCCCCTGCAGGACCGATGCACTCGACACCGCCTAGTAGGCGCCCCCGTCCACTGTTGGTTTGTTATGAATCTGGACTTCCTACTGAACCAGATTCAGAGATGAAGAATCACTTTCTCTCTCTCTCTCACATACACAGACACGCCCATGTTTCAATTTCAAAAGGCCTCTTTCTCTCCCTCCCTCTCTCTCTCTCTGTTACACGCACACACACACACGCACATGCATGCATGTGTAAGCCAGTGCGCGACACTCACACATGAATTTCAGCGTGTGAACTGCCCGCCTGGACCCCCTCCACCCTCTCTCACTCTCTTTGATTCCCTTCTCCGCACTGTCTTTCACACACACACACACACACACACACACACTCACTCTCACATATACACTCACTCTCACATATACACACTCACTCTCACACATACACACGCGCAAACACACACACACTCTTGGAGTTGTGTATAGCGAACATGACAAACGACATCAACAAGACAAACTATGGGCTGCCCACCCGTGCCCTCACTGTAAGTCAATTTGTGTGTGTGTGTGTGTGTGTGTGTGTGTGTGTGTGTGCGTGCGTGCGTGTGTGCGTGCGTGCGTGTGTGTGTGTGAGTGTGTGTGTGTGTGTGTGTGTGTGTGTGTGTGTGTGTG